CTTTCTCCTTTTCTGTTTTCTTTCTTCTTGCGTGACTTGCCTCACTCTGATGATGAAATGAACTTTGTTAAGTGTGCAGACGATTCAACTGTTTCAATGCCTGTTAACTCCCATTTAGACAGTACTAAGAAGAACAACTTTCTAACAGGAGTCAGCAAATGCTATTTGTCTAATGGTCTTAAACTAAATCCTTCGAAATGTCAGACTGTTAATTTCAGTTTCCGATGTAAACGAAAGTTAAATGAAGCCGTTGGTTCCTATGAACCTTGCAAAATTGATGATATTGATATAGAAACCAAGTCTGAAGTTAAGTATCTTGGATTGATTCTTTCTTCTGACCTATCCTGGTCTTCCAATTTCTTAGCGATTTCTAAATGAATATTTCGTCTGACATTTTGCATTAAGAAGTTAAGGCACTCAGGCATAATTCAACCTCTCCTCTAACAGTTTGTCAACTCTTGCATCTTACCTATTCTTCTTCATTGTTCATCCTTATTCTTTCCTGGGTTGTTTAACAAAGACTATGTCATACTTCGTAGAACTCTGAAGACTGTCAGTAGGGTGAGTGGTAGTATCTTATTGGGCCATACGGTAGATATCGTCATTATTGATAGGCACTTGATTTCATGCAACAAATTTGCTAAAGGAATTTTGTCAGACTCTGAGCACCCAATCTACCAGCAGCTCCAACCTTGTGTCTCCTCAGGTAAAACAAGAAACCTTTTTAGAAGAGTTTATGCACGTACATCTAGGTATAAAAATTCCACGATACCATATTTGGTGGCACGTATTTTATGTGATGAAAATAGTGTTAGGCATGAACTAACTAACTAACTAATTAACCTTCTTTCCACTAGTAAATAAACAATCTGCTCTATCCTCATACCATTAAGTTTTACTGTTATTATTCTTCTTATAATTGTAATCCTCTCACTTTTTTGTTTATTTTCTCATAAGTGTAAACATCATTTAAGCTCTTTATTAATTGTTATCTTTTTGTTTTTTTTCCCTCACCATTCTATGTCAAGATAACATTAGATTCAATGCCTAAGATTTCCATTGTGTATCGACAATATTGTTTGAAACAAACACACTGCTATTAGTATTATTAGTATAGTTATTAATCTCACTATATATTTTGCACATTTTCGACTTTATTCCTACCGTAAATGTGGACAAATTCCTGTGGTTTATTTTTTATTTATGATGTTTTGAGTAAATCAGATGCAATATATATTGTGACAAATGCTAAGAATTCCATGCTGTATTATAAGGACTGTCTGTTTTTGGAATATAGCAGATTTGCAATTAGTAGTGTTCTCTGAGCTGGTTGGTTGGTTTAGTTGCGGAGCTTTCGTCGTCCTTCTGGACAACATCTTCGGCAACTAAACCAACCAACCAGCTTTAGAGAACACTACTAACTGCAAATCATCCACCTACCTGAGCTACAAATCTCCTCTATTATTTCAATATGGTAAATTATTATTATTATTGCCTCAGTAGTTATTGATTGTAAGGCTACAATATAAGTAGTATAGTTGAAATATTTGAAATAAGACTGACAGCCATTATTTTCAAACAGTAAGGATTCCGAAAAAATAAACAACAGGAATAGGTTGGAAATACTGGAAACCGGTATTTACCGTTGAAACAGAAACCATCTGTTTCTGCCCTATAAGTTACAAAAAAGGATTGGTGAGAACATTATTTGATCGTGTGAGGAAGCTGTGTTCAGAAGAAAAGATTGAGGAAGAGCTATCCATTGTGGAGAAACGCCTACGCGACAACGGTTACCCACAAAAGTTCATTGACAAGTATGGGAGACGTCATGTTGAAAAAGTGAAAATCAGCACAGTAGAGAAAAAGCCTATCTTTCTGCAGCTTGCATTTAAAGGTGATGATACTGCCAGTAGAATAAGATGCAGACTGAACGCTGCCCTGAAAAGAACATATCCAGCCGCCAAGCTTGTATGTGTTTATCAAACAACTAGTTGTTTGAGACAATCAAAGGTGGAAAAATACCCACCTCATGTTACCTCCAACTGTGTCTACCGATTTACATGTACGTGCCAAAGCACATACATCGGAAGAACAGAGAGACGGGTTATTGTCCGCATTTCTGAACACATACCAAAGAACCTGAGACTGAAAGGTTCACAAGTATTAAACAGTGCAATTGCGCGTCATCTATTAGACACTGGTCATAATGTAGACAACTTGAAGTCATTCAAAATAATAAACAAGCAAAAGAAACCTAACTTGCTAAGCTTTGCTGAAGCAATTGCTATCAGACGACTTAAACCAAATCTATGTACGCAGAAAGAGACAGTGGTGAATCTTGCACTGCCCTGGTGACAACAAAAAAATATACAACAGCTTGTTTTTGTTCCCAAGCCTAATTGCCTAATTATTCTATAAATATTTATGAACTGTCAAATATTGATCACAGTTCATTTGAATTATTCTATAAATAGTCAGTGTTTGTAACTCTTAATTAGTTAAATCATTCCGGACTAATGTTACTTTTACTTCCTACTAATTACTCCTTGTGATCGTGGAAAAGTATGTTCAAATCTGTAATGTAATGTAATTCATATTTTTATCGTTCAGGTTGTAACCAGTTGAGAAGAATCCTCGAAATAATAAAAGATGAGCTCATATTATCCTGGTACAATTGTTGTTCTTGCTTTGTTCAAGAAACCATCTCCACGAAAGGGAATTGAATGCGATGTTTAGCAACACACCAAAGGGTTATCCAATAGACCTATTGGGCGACGACTGTCATCTGTTGTTCAAGCGGCATCAATTATGATTTGTTTCTAAGTCAATTTTAATTATCCCTTTGGTTGATTCCCGCATTTGGAAGGATGGGTACCAGGTTAGAGTCTCAGTGACAACACTGGCACTCACTGGGGAATGTAGATGCATCCAGCGGACAAGTCGCTAATAGGACGTAATGCACACCTTGTGTTCCACTGTTGGTCACTGCCCACCATATTATTTCAAGTTAGTCCTCAGACATCGTCGAAGAGTTCATCCTAGAAGCTGGCGTGTTAAAAAAGGCACAATATTCCGCTCTAGTCAATCAACAGGGAAATTAAAATTCAATTCAAAGTGGATAACAGTCTGAGAAATAAGTGATATGAAAAAAACCCTGAAAACTCCAAACACTAGAAGCTTTCGCGATTTGCCTGAAACAACTGGTGCCAGGTGTGCAGAAAAAACAGGTTCAGCCAGCTACTACTAATACTGACCTGGCTGGCCTTCAGTGAAGACCATAAATTCATGAATTTGTATTATTATTTTTCCTAATTTCTCTGACATTCAGTTTATTGTTATGCTGACGCTATCGAACTGTAATCCATCGATACTATTATTGATTCGATGTTATTTAAACAACACTAATGTTGTGGTTAATAACACTAATTCATTCAGCCACAATTATGTATCTATAACTGTAGAACCTGATGATGAAGAGCAGGTTATCGAAAAGAATATTCTTTGTTCAGTAAGCATTCTTTTGAAAAATTTTAATATCCACTTTTGTTTTCGTTTTTCTTTTGATTACGTACTTAGTAATTCTGCTGAACTGACAGAAAGACAGTAGAAGATCTGGATTTCACAAACTCGAACATGTATAAATGAGAATCATGAAGCTGGCAGAAGACACAACAAAGACGGAACTTCAGGCGGATCTAGAGAAGGAAGCGGAGATGAAGATACCAAACGAGCAACAACCAGAATCACTATTTACCGTAAATGCGAGAAGTCTAAGTGGAAGTTGATTCTGTTATTTACCTGGTTAGACAGAAGTAATTTAACTGCATGTTATTTGGGAGAAATCTGAAAGAAACAACCTGCTTTATCTACCTACCTACCTAAATGGGAAGCATCAATTCAACTACAGGCATATGGAACTGGTAAGAATATCAAAGCAGCGAGCATCGCAAAAGCAAGGGAAGCTTTCATTTCTCTCAATTCTTTGTGGAGGTCAACAGCACTACTCACCATGAAAATGAAAATGAGATCCGGATTTTCAACTCCAACGTGAAGTCAGTGGCCGCGTCACGAAGGCCACTTCGAACAAACTACACACCTTCATCAACAGAACTCTTCACTCAATACTACTCGAAATCAGATGGCCGGCCAGAAAAGATCAGCAACAGAGATCTTTGTCAATGAGTGAACCAACCAACCAGGAACCGACTGTGCAACAAATATGCAGGGAGAAATGGAGGTGGATTGGAGGTCATACTCTGAGAAAACAAACCACCAAGTGAGTGACATAACACGTCAGACCATGGTTCGAGTGGAACCCGAATAGGAAGTGGTGAGTTTATTGATCATCAGTACGAGGTTGACATGGAGGAGGAGGTCGTGTGAAGAGAAGACGAAAGCATGTGAAATCAATGAGGATGTCAAATCCAATCACCACACTACTTTCAGAGCAGCGTGGTGATCTACAGGGCTCATAACGAGGAGCAAGGTGCGAATTTCGATTAACACTAATGTCATGTCAGCGCTTCTGTGTGACTGAGAGACGTGTCGCACCCCTCACTGAAAGCATTTCGAACAGACTATTTCAGACTTTTACCAACATTTGCCCCATTTACCGGACACTGAAGATCAGGCTACCTGCCATAAAAGATGAGCTAGAAACAAGAACCTCTGACATTACCCGATAAATATGCAGGGAACTGAGATGGATTCACATATGTTGAGATTACCTTGTGAGTGACACTACACACCACATAGAGGCCTTCAAGCTCGGTGGATTTGTCGCGCTCACACACAAACCTCTTCTTTTCTCCGAGGTTATTTACCACCATCTGGGCGAGGTTTCTCAGTTCGTCGGTGGACAACGCAACTCGCATCACCTGAACAACAAGAGCACATGAACACCTCCAACCCAACCCACTCCACCCTACAACCCCTCCATTCTTGCCGATCTCTTTCTACCACTTTTCAACAAGACAACAAGACAACTTTTAGTATAGTTACACAAGGTGATAATTTTATTTATTTATTTTTTGTTTTATAATGTCAAATGTCCAGAGAATAATCTTGTTGTTATTTTTTTAATTTTCAGGTGAATATGTTTATTGTCTCTTTCGTCTCTTTTGTTTGTTTGTTTCTTGACTGGCGCAATTGCTAAAAACTGGTGATTCATTCTAAATCTAGGAATGATCTTGATTTTGGCGAGTTCCTACCCCGGTCGTAAATCAGCGGGGGAACAGTTTCTGTAAAGAGAGAAAAAATGAAAAAAAGAGGGTAGAAAAAGACGAAGAAATGTGAAAAAAAATCAAAATCACACATTGGTAAAGGAAATAATAATCACCCTGAAAAATATTTATATATACCAAAAATTAGATAAATTACTGTATAGATGATGTATCCAATAGTTCCAATTTTACTGTAAGGTATAGTTTCATTGAATCCAGCTAGCAGTTGACCATAAAGAGTCAGGAGAATTAAATCAATAACGAAAACGTCACTATTATATAACAATAACAACAACCACCCCCCACCTCCACAGAATTCGTCTAAAGGAGTGATTGTGACTTGTAAGAATAATAGGAGGAGTAATGTAAATAGTGATTATCATAGTACTATCATTTCAGAAAGAGAAATCTGAAATTGTACATAAAATTCTTAATGAGTTTGGAATTAGGATGATATCCAGATTGACTAACATACACAGAGATAAACTTTATCAGTTTGAGGGTTTGACAGATGCAATAATGCGAATTCCATATTAGATAAGTTTATTTTAAGTACCACACAATGGTGATACAGTACTCAAGTATTGGTTTCTAAGGTATTGATTGACTGGTTACAGGATTTTATCGTGGGCTGACATCGGTTAGAGAACCATTGTAAAACCAGCTCTTAAGTACTGGACAGCTGTTTCGTCAGCCTAGTTTGGGAATCATCGGCAGTACGCATCAACCCACTGCTAGGGTTCGAACCCACGACCTTCTGGTTAAAAGGCAAGTTAGCTCGGAGACCATTCAGCCACCCAATGGGACCCAACTCTTCAATGGCCAGCCCATGGATTCTAACTTCTACCAATTCATGATTTAGCGTGACTGGAACCAACCGATGTCATCGGTGGGACATACATCCTCACACTTGACTGGATGAACCTCACTGGTCACAACTCCTCACTAGAACTTACTAGAACAGGAAACTCCGTTCTGTAGCAAGTCGTTAGCGAGCATCAGATTAATTTTCTATAGTTGGTTTGTAAGGATTAAATTTGTTTTTACGAGTTTGACCACGGATTGATATCATCAGTTATAGAACCATTGAAAACTAAGAAGGGGATACTGAATATCCGTTTCATCCTAGTTTGGGACTCTTCATCAGTACGTACCCACCGGGATCCGAACCCAGGACGTTCTCACTTATAATCATACCAATTTAGTCACACAGTTTCACAATTTGTATTGTATATATATATTCTCTCTTTCTCTCTCCAACTTCCCTTTATTATTTGTTGCCACTCTCCATATCTCTGGTTTAGGCTGAGTCATTCTGACTGCACATGTGTGGTGTTGAGTCGATAGATAAAGCTTCAGTGATTAATCTCTCTCTCTCACTCCACCTAACTATATTACTTTTTAATACTCTCACCCTGCTCCACCCACTCCACAGTATGAGTGATTGCATGCAAGTGAATGCAATGCATTGCAATGGCTGAGCTCTGTTTATTCTAGGTTATTTACTTAGCAGGGTCAATCATTCTAGGTCTAGCTCAATTCCGATAAGGTTCCAATAGCCTAGTTGACTGACCCTGATCTACTAGTTTGACTCGCCTATGTAACTGACCTCACTAACAGTCATTATATGCATGGTATTTGGTAAATTATTTATTTTTCTTAATTGGATCTATCGGGTGGGCGCTTAAGCCGACAAAGTTTGTCTTTGAGAGAGTTGATTGGTTTAAATGCCACTCCAACTAATTCCAGCCTTATTGAGAATCCCACTTAAGGTCTTTGACATTTCTTCTTTATACGGCAAAATAATATAATTTGCCGACTACCTTCCAATGATTATAAGGTCAAAAATATAAGTCACACTAGTAAACAAAGGTTAGTTGGAATATCTGAGCGTAGGAATTCAGCTGTAGCTAAAGTGATAGACCCTCCTAAGTTAAATAATCGAGAGAGAAAAAATCAGCCATTTCAATACATTCACTTGTATGTAAGTGCACAATAAGTTGGTACAGAGTAAAAGTATTAGAAAGTACTGCTGAAGAGTCCCAAACTATTCTGACGAAACAACTGTCCAGTACTCCCTGAAGGTTTTCCAATGGTTCTCTAACTGATATCACCTCATGAGTAAATCCTCCAACCAATTAAATGAAATCCCGACAAAACCAATACTTGATAATTGACATGATGCTTACTAGCGACTGGCTCTATTCAGGAAGTCGCCTGGGTTCTAGTGAGAAGCCGTAACCAGTAGGGTGCAGCAGGTTGAAGATGAGGCAGTAACTCATCAAGGAAGACATTGAGAAGTGGTTGCGCTATATTGTGCGTGAATTGGCAGAAGTTAGAATTCATCGGCTGGCCATTGGATTGGCGGGTCCCAGTGGCTGGCTGAATGGTCTACGAGCTAGCTAGCCTTGTGACCAGAAGATCCTGGGTTCGAACCCTGGTATTGGTGGGGTGGGTGCGTACTGTGAAGGGCCCTAAACTAGGCTGACGAAACAGCTGGCTGTCCATTACTCCCGGTTGGTTTTCCAGTGGTTCTCTATCTCATGTCAGCTCATATGGGAATCCTCCAACCAATTAAAATAGATTGTTCCAGAGAGAGAGAGATGAAGGTTGATCGTCAAATCTTTATCGATCGAATTAACACCGAACACATGCAGTAGGAATGATGTATCACCATTCTAAACTGGTTTCAGGTTGATGAAGGCGTATCTTGCCTTTCCTACTCTGACTTTCACATCTTCATCTGTTCCGCCTGTAGTTGAAACAATGTTTCCCAGATAAGTGAAGGAGGTAACCTCTGTTAAATCTCTCTCGTTGTTGATGAGTGGAGCTGATTGTTGTTGCCGTTGCTGTTCATTGTTTACGTTCATTACCTTCGTCTTCTCTGCATTCACCTGGAGACAGTCCAGTCTTCAGTGTCTCTTCAGCCAGTTTGTTGTTTTTCGCCTGCCTGCAAGTCTTCGAGTTTGTATGACACTGGACATAAATCATCCACACGTGAAATCCAGATCTTCTAGAGTCATCTTGTTTGTTCAGCGTATTCCTTTCTCTCTTCTCGCTCCCCATATATAGTCTCCGGCATAATCCAGTCCACAGCAATTAAGAAGATCATTGTCAGTGACAGTAGTCATCCAGCCTTGTCTTACTCCTGTTGTTACTTAAAACGCTTCGCTGAGTTTTCAGTTGTGGTTCCCCTGATACGTGGCAGGCATTGTCATATAGCCAGCTGTTGAATGAGGCTGATAAAGATTTGAGCAGTGCACGCCATAGTATTGAAGTAGTTTCCAAATTTCTTCTCTACCAAAGCTGCACTGTCGAAGGCCTTTTCGAAGTCGATGAAGTTGGGCTAGAGGTTTGACTGCAGTTCTATGCTTTGTTTGATGGCGATACGTAGAGTTGCAATTTGATCAGCACATGTTTTGCCTTTCCTTAATCCAACTTGTTCCGGCCTGGTGGAGTTCTGTATCCTGTGCATCCTTTATTCTCTCCAGGATGATATGACTTAGTATTTCACTTGGCGTGGACAAGAGCATGATTCCACGCCAATTCTTACACAGGCCTAAGTCGCCCTTCTTTGGCAGCTATACACTGCGCGAAAACACCTTGAGATAGCTTTCATCCTCACGCTGAATATAAATTATAGGCTTAGCAGCAAATAATACTCTACGAATTGACATCAAAACACACAGGGTGTTGAAAGAATAGCGTACTGGAGCTTGCTACAGTCTGTGTTGATCATCAAAATGCTGTCTACAGTAATCAGGAAAATTCCATAAATTATCAAGAATATTCAACCACCTCACAGATCATTGCCAAAGGAGCTCTACGGTAGAATTTAATTCCATATTAGCTGAGTTATTTTTTATATAACACAGAGCGATACAGTATTATAAACTGGATAACATTTCAAGTAAAATTTATCGCTCATAATCATATCAATACATTCACACAACTTCATAATTTGCTCTATGCATACATCTCTCCCCCATGTTATTTATTATAATTCTTCATATTTCTGGTGTAGGAGTTGCATCATTTCGATTAGATTAGATTACATTAGAATATAGGAACATAGGGATTCCGGTAAAGCTTGAATGAATGGCTCTGCTAAGTTAAATAATCTAGAAAATCGCTCAGTCATTGCAATGCATTCATCATTTGCGTCTAATCACACAGCAGAGTGCGATAGGGTGAAGGTATGAAAAAGTAACATAGTTAGATGGAGAGAGAGAGAGAGATAGGTAATTCATTGAATCCTTATTTATCGAATTAGCATCAGACATGTACAATGGAAATGACACAACTCTTTAACCGGATATATAGAAAACTGTTATGAACAACAAGTGGACAGAATGAGGAAATAGAACATGTTAAAGGACCGCCTACACTTTCTCCTGACAAAAGCGCCTCTACTTGAATGTTTAAGTTAATAAAGACTCATCGGCAGAGATACGGAGAAACCACCCATCCATCCTGTTCACTGAAGAAAAGCCTTACCTTTCTTCATGGCTCAACTTTGATTAACTTTCTCTACGAAACCAATGATTCAATGTCGGCTGAACCACCAATGTGCATCTACCAGTTCATCTGCTCCACCTGTAAAGCTAGGTATGTCGGCCGTACCCTGCGTTTGCTATCCAAACGTAACATCGAACACTTACCCATAGTTATGGTTTTATAAAGGAGAAAAAAGATCCCACTCCGACCGCCACAGCAGCTCTATCCTGGAACCCCTGATCGAATCTGGACACCAAGCATACCCTCCCCCATAAATCAACTTCAAAGTTACCTACAGAATACGTGGGAATCTCACTAAAACAGTACAACGAATCAAACTTCTTCAAACAGGGCAGAAGCAGCAATGGCGGCAATTCACATGTTAAATCATGATCTCTGCATACAAAAGAGGAAGTTTGTCCGGTTATTAAATCTACAATGGACCTGATTGGTCAATCTTAACACCAAATATGTATTTTTGTGTTTTTTGTTTCATAATTGTATTATTTTCCTTCAATACA